AGTGATGATATAGTTTGCTGAGGTGTGCCATTGAGATGGCTTAATCGGAGATGACAGTAATTTAAGGGGGCAGCAGAGTCAAGGAAAGCTTTTTTCAGCAGGGGCGAAGGGTGATTATATTTCAGAGTGTAAAATGAATAAAACCAAGGCTTCACATGGTTCAGTCCAAGCATGTAATGGCTTTCTAAGGAAATATAAACTGACAACTGAAATACTGAAAAATAATACATAAGCTTACTGAAGAATTTTCTGCAAATGTTCTCCTCAGCCTGTTTAACAGACTCCAAGATCTTCTCTATATATTTCTCTCATTCCCGCTTTTTTTCCACTCACAGTACCTATTTATATTTCTCCTCCTTCTTCCTTCTTCTCGACTATGAAAAGATCACTAGACTAGACCCGGGTTGACTTCCTCTTTCTCCAGCCCATGTGGCTCACATGACTCTGTTCTCCGCCTGTGACTCTCAGCCTCCTGCACCCCTGAGGAATCAACACAAATACCCTTTTTAAAAATTTGAGAACGGTCTCTGAACTCTGATGAATAAGGTGATCCACTTTATTATCTATTACCTTTCCTTTTCAACTCTTCACAAGAAGGGCACAACATATGTCTGTGCTACCCAGGGACACCAAAAAATCATACCCAGACCTCAGTCTTAATTCTGTTTCTGTTGTTCCAATGGCAAGCATCCCTGGAAATGCTGTACCACTTGGCCTGCTATAGTCCCATTGATTTCTTCTAAGTGAATCTGGGAATAAGCATTTCAACGTTAGAATGTATTCTTCCCCATGTCAGCTCCCCATCTTCCTCTTGCCCTCCATAAACACATGAAAAATGATGACCTAACCGGGTTAAATCATTTGTGGTTACAGCAGGCATTAATTATCCCCTTTACCAAAACCAATCAAATGAGGATTATTTCCAGAATTATTGGAGTCTGTGAAATACAGGGTGACAGATACCAACCCTACTGCACCAGAAGCAAAACTAGGACTACCTTTCCAACCCAAACCTAGGCCAGCCCTCATGGGTGATGGGGAAACTGCTTATCTTCCCTGCCCATCTCTCTTTCTCAAAACAGAAAGGCCTTAATGTCCTTTCAGTAAAAGGTGGGGAAAAGGAAAAAAACAACTACTTCTCATTCTTTTATGATGAGTCTGCAGTCAGGAGTGGCAGATTAAGTAGGTTCTCAATCCTGTGACTTGGATGTGACTATAACCTTTGAATAAGCACTTATTCAGACCAGAGAAGAAAAATCAGTTATTTCCTTCAAAGGAGAGGCTTTGAAGACTTTTAGGTATTGAGAACTCACATGGTTCTTGGTTTAAATCTCAGTGTGAGTATAAGATAATACTTCTGGAGGCAATTCTACAAGAGACACTGGAACTAAATCATGCCCTTAAATCAAGTGAAATGACTCCAAGGGGACTGTTTGACTTGTATAACATTCACTTATGTAATTTTTAGTCTAGGATATTAAATCAATAAAGAATATTTTCTAGTATCCTCTAGAAGGGTATCTCCCACTTGTAAACTTTACTTTTAGTGGCCTTCATTTACTGAGATACCTTAGAACTAAGTTATTTCCCATAGAGTCCCAAAGTCCCACAGCATTGATTCAAGTCATAAGTATTTCTGTGGGTTTATTAATTCCTGAGGACAGGGGACATTGTTGGAGATCTCATCTTTGTTTTCAAGTGCCCACAGCATGGGAGCTCCCCTTTGAAGGCTAGATAGAACTCTTCAATTGGCCAGCCCATCCCCAGCTAAGGACAGGGAGGAAGGAGACAAATACAGTGTAAAGTGAGAGAAGCATCTGAACATGGGTGTCAGGAGATGACAGCTGCTTCTCTCTGACCATCCCCGTGTGTGAATTACTCCTGTATTTTAAACACTTGTGTGACTAGGGCAAAGTGTTATCAATGAAATCTGTTTGGCTCAGATGTACAGATTATGAACAGATGATGAAGGAGGAAGCCAACAGAAGGCAGCAGGTGGCGGATAGGGACACAGAGAGAGAGATGGGCATAACACAGGGCAGCGGTTTACAGTTGCACACGATCAAAAATAGAACGTGGAGACACATTTGGATATTCTCTCTATCTAGTAATAAAATGCATTTGTAAACTTTCAATGCAAACCAAGCAGGTTGTTGATATTCTTAAAGTCTCTTTATTTTATCCTGTTTGTGATGATCAAGAAAGTTTACTGGAAATTGCTCCTTCACCAGGAAATTGCTAATGGCACTTCAAGCCCAGTTGTTCAGAACCTACAGTCTATCCTCCTTTTAAGAACAGAACAAAGATCATCTCTCTCGTTTTAAGGGCAAATGTGGGGGCGCCTGGGTGGCGCGGTCGGTTAAGCATCCGACTTCAGCCAGGTCACGATCTCGCGGTCCGTGAGTTCGAGCCCCGCGTCGGGCTCTGGGCTGATGGCTCGGAGCCTGGAGCCTGTTTCCGATTCTGTGTCTCCCTCTCTCTCTGCCCCTCCCCCATTCATGCTCTGTCTCTCTCTGTCCCAAAAATAAATAAACGTTGAAAAAAAAAATTAAAAAAAAAAAGGGCAAATGTGGAAGTGGGATAGGCAGAACTAGAGTGAAGGGTGGTACTGATACTCGTTAACCAAATTACAGGAAAGGGTGCTACGTCTGCACTTGCAAAGAACTCTTGGTTCAGTTTTTCCTTAAACATTATACCATCAGTTTTCAAAACTTTAGTGTGCACATGAACCACCCAGGGATGGTGTTGAAATGTGCATGTCCAGACCAGCCCCAGGAGAACTGGATTCAGCAGAGACCTGGATTCTGTATTTAAACACCTACGCCAAGTCAACTGTGATGCGAGTCAACCTTAGAAACACCCTGAGAAATGGCACGTTGGCAATGATGAGTTTTTTCCTCTAAAAATGAATAGAGTAAGAGCAGCGAGAAAGGATATGGCAATACTGAAGATGATCTGGATGTCTCATCCCACACCTTCGGCTTCTCACTGGTCTCCTCCTGTCCCAGCACTTGTCCGTCTACTTTACCCAAATCACAAAGTCAGGATTGTTTTGATTCTCATGTATATTTTTAAGTTTTTTAATTTTAATTCCAGTATAGTAACAGACAGACTCTCATATATTTTTTGAAGTGATAAATTCTCCTTTTTTCTAAACACATCCTGGTTTTTTTTGTTTGTTTGTTTTTTAGTATCTCCAGAAGATACCAAAAACTTCATTAAGAACCTTGATAAGCTGTATGGGAAATCAATGGCTGAAGGGTGAAAACAGGTGGGGAAGATGAATAAGATCAGCAATCATCAAATTACTAATATGTAAATCACTGAGCAGCAATCTGAGTAAATACTTTCCATTCCCATCATTGAGTTCAGAGAAAGGCAGATTCCATTCACTCTCTGCCTTCTCTGTTGATCATTATGTAGACCCTGGACATCACCTTAGTAAAGCAAACAATAAACTAAACACCCTCCCTCCCCCCTCCTGTCAGTTTGAAAAATTATTCATAGATCATAGAGGCCATCTAAGAGGATATTACTTAATCCTCACTACTACTCAGTGAATTGGTTGCTCAGGATAACTCAGCTAGTTAGCAGCAGGTGGCTCTAGAGACAGTTTTTTTCTTTCTTTTTTTCCTCACACAATAGTCATGACCACACTCACAGGTCATGAAATCTTGTGTCCTGGGTCTTAACTCTCATTTTTAGAAAAATGAAAGATAAAATAGAAAATATCAGACAAAGTTGGGATAATACTGCCGTATTCCACTATGTGGCCTCAAAAAGAGATTTGAAAGAGGGAGCGTCTCAGCTGAATCTCCAAGTATATTTACAATTTGAGGCTAAAGAGAATTTCACACTCTCTACCAGATTTTTAAAGCAGTATCATCCTCAGTATTTTTCTAGGTTAAAGAATAAAAACGTGATACTCTTGAGAATGTGAAGTCTTACTTGGGAAGCAAATGCCATAACCAAGACAATGGACATCTTGATATTCATCCGTTATGCAGTATTTTGAATTGCAGTTGAAATTAATAAGCAGGAAAGTCAAAACAATGAAGAGTTCAGGTTACCAATTTAAAATTACAAAGAGAGGGAGACAGAAACGAGAAGGGAGGGAAGAAGGAAGGAGGAAGAGAGGGAAGCACCTACAAGTCCAGCAATGGGGAACGCTTAAGTAAATTGTGCCATCACCCTCTGTGTGACTCACATGGTTTTTAGCTAGTCTCCTCCATCGGTCTGGAGGGTTTTCCTAATCTTCGCCTAGAATGTGCTAACCTAACCTGAACCCCCAAGGATGGCAAGACAGCAGGAATCGAGAGCATTCTTAAAAGATGTAACCGGTGATGGGAAGTTCTTTTCATGTCAAAGCAACCTAAGTTTCATTATGTCGAGGAACTTTGAGGAAGTCCTCAAAATTCACGTATTAAAAGTATATTTCCTATTACACACACCCGTACTTTCTAGAATAAAAACCAAAGCCATATGGGCTTGCCATTTTACTTCGTATGTATTGTGGAATTACATCCAGCTACGACAAGATGTACCATCTTGTGAAAAGCTTTTATCGGAAGGCTGTGGGGGTTGGGGGGTGGGGGGAACCTGATGGGCAGAACGTCAGGTGTCTGGATTCCTAAAATAAAAGCCGTCTGAAGTCTTTGTAATCAGCTCAGACGTCAGTTTGTTTTCAACCTTTGTTTTATTTTTTCAACCTCTGTTTTAAAAGAATAGGTCGGAATTATTAGATTGCTTTAATGCGGAAGCTTTTCTCTTTAACAGCTGATTTACAAGAACCCGGGCCTCTATTTTCGCTTTCGGTTTCTACTTTTTCTCCTAGAACGCAACCGCTAACTCCCCACTATGAGCCCAGCCTAGAGAACGGATCAAGGACGAAGGGCGCGCCGGCGTCTCAGGGGCGGGGCTGCGGCCGGGTGGGGCGGAGCCCCGCCCCGCCCCCCGCCAGCTCATTAGCGCGAGAACCCGCGCCACCTGCTGCTGCAGCAGCTCCGGGGCCACCGCGTGCGAAGGCACCGCCAGTCTCCCCGCCGGCAGGTAGGGAGCGTCCTTCCCTCATGGGGTGCCCACCGCGGGATTCGCTGGCTGTCCCGGTTGGGGTTGGCGCTTTAAAAAATGCTCTGTGGACCTTTGGAATGGAGAGGGGAGGCGGACGAGGGAAAGCGTTGCTGGTTGGATGGGGCAATAGAGCAGATCAGCTGCATAGGTTAATAGGAAAAGCTAAAACGTTTGGCCTTTCGCCAGGTGGGATTCACTTTTGCTTCATGTCAGTTTTGTAAGTATAAGTTTCCGCGCGTTCCTGAATATGGTCCTGACTTAGGTAGCAGAGTCTAGGGGGAAATTCCTAGGCTGGAGGTCGGACACCTGGGTCCTCGTCCATCCTCAGCTGCTCTCTGAGTACTTCGTACACCTGCAACATCTCCTAAGGATCCCCTCCTACTGTAAGATCCAGGAAACCTCAATAGGAGTTCTTCGCGCCGCCTGCGCTGAGGACCTGCAGGAGACCTGCAGGCTCCAAATGGAGCCTTTGGACACATTGATCATGGTCTTTGTCTTATAACACATTGTTTCACCTTGTTTGCATCTAAGAAATACCTTGTATGATTTTCTGTGGATTAAACAGTCTTCTAAAATGTGATATATCTACCCACACATACTAACAGTATGTATGTGTATATATGTGTATGTATATGTGTGTGTACATGTAGATACAGTTTTTTTTACTGGCTGCATTCCATGTTACTGGGTAACCAGGCAAAATTAATATCCCATTCTGGACATAAAGATTATTTGCAGTGTTTTAAGTATCTTAGCCATTCAGTGAACATCTTTGAATGTAAATCTCTGGGATATTGCTGATTATTTCCTTCAGGCAAACTCTTGTAAGCTTAACTACTTAGGCAAAGAGCCTGAATATTTTAAAGCCCTTTTTTAAAGTTTTTAATGTTTTTAATGTTTATTTTATTTGGGGGGTGGAGTAGGGGCAGAGACAGAGAATCCCAAGCAGGCTCCGCACCATTAGCGCAGAGCCTGACATGTGTCTCGATTTCCACCAACCATGAAAGCATGATCTGAGCCGAAATCAAGAGTCAGAGGCTCAACCCACTGAGCCACCTTTTGAGGCAAATTGAAAAATCACCTTCAGGATAGTGCCACTTTCCATTGAAGTTGCCAGCAGTTTTTAAGGACTATGATAGTCTAAAGAAAAAATTAGCCTTTTTCAGTGGAAGAGAGTAGGCAGAGGTTACAGGACAGTAGTTAGAGTGTAGTCTTACAGGAAGCCACAGAAGTACTGCTGGGATTTGAAGTCACCTGGGAATCATAGAAGAGGGTCTCAGGGTGACCGAGGGAAGGGAGTTGGGCACAGGGTTTAGCTGGGTTTAATAGGTCAACTCTCTTGATCTATTGATGGGGTGGATTTTCATTTTGGAGTTACATTGTCAAACTCCAGGAAAAAAAATTTTTTTGAAAATCAGTTATAGTTCATTTACATCAGGTAAAAGTCAAAGGAAACTCTAAAACAAACAGATATCAAGACACTGCTTACTCCTACTTATTGAGAAAGGAAGCTTGAATTCTTTTCCATCTTTTCCTCCTACCCTGGCTACCCTTGGGAGATGGAGGGGGTAGCATCAGTTCCAAAGGATTATACTGAGTTCCCCAGGCACAAACCTGCTTCCCCATCCAGAATGAACCATCATTTCTTTCCTAGTTCAAATTTCCTTGCTCTTTGAATGCTCTTGTTGGGGAATCCAGATATACCATCATAGTTTCTTACTTGAGGAAGATGTCAGTGTTCTCTTAGACCAGCTGCCCTGATGTTCCAGAGGGAATCCCAGGCAGGCTCCACACCATCAGTGCAGAGCCTGATGTGGGGTTCAAACTCATGAACGATGAGATAATGACTTGAGTCAAAATCAGAAGTTGGACACTTAACCGACTGAGCCAGCCAGGTGTCCCAGAATGTTCTTTGTCCTCGATCAACAATTCCACTTGGGGAAAGTCTATCCTAGGACCTAGCATAGGGCTGAGCACACAGTAGGCACTTCCCAGATATTTGCTGTATACACAAATATGTATGATATTTTTAAACAATCTTATGCCTAACTATAGGGGAAGTAACCATTATGGAAACAGTAAGATACTTAGGAATATCATTCAGTAAAATGGAAAATGTTTGTATTGTAATACTAAATGAAAAAAAAATGAGTGTTAAATGTAGGATAAGGCTATAATTGTTTTTAAAAAAAATTCATAGGGGAAAGGACTAGAGGTAAAATATTTGCTAGAATGCTCATAATGGTTTCTCAGTCTTAGCACTGTTGACAGCTTGGCCTAGACACTGCTCTGCTGTGGTGGCTGTCCTGTGCTTTGTGGGATGCTCAAAGACAGCATTCTTGGAGACCGGCAATCCTCACCCCCACCCACTGCACTTGGACACCAAAAATACGTCCTGGCATTAGCAATTGTTTCCCAGGTTAAAGTAATGGAATAGTGGGTGATCTTTCCCTTCTTTTCTCATTTTCTTCAATGTGTTTATATTATTCTAATAATGAACAAAAAAACAGGAAAATAAATATCATTATTCTCCCTCAACTCTGATGCTTGAGGTTCCAGGGTTCTGTCCCTTCTGCTACTCTGCCTCACAGACATTCTGCAGGTTGGCAGGATGAAATGCTTCACTAAATTCATTTTTATGTTTTTCTGATAAATAAAGGGAAACATATCCATTTATTTGAAAATGTGCACACAGAAGCACCAAAGAAATCATTAGTAAGATCATCTACTTTTTTTTCTTTTTCTCCCATTCTTTCTTTTAAAAATTATAAAAAGGTGAAAACCTGCTTATCATCCCTTTGATTTCACTCCTAGAGATAATCACCATCAGCGTGTTGGTATGGATTTTTCTGGGTATTTCCTATGTCTAAACACACACACACACACACACACACACACGCACGCACACACACACACACACACACACACAGGTTTTTCTTTGTTTTCACTACAGTAGATTTCTGCTACATATACTGCTCTGCAAATTATGTTCTACAGCTTTGCAAAGTCACTACAATTCTATCCTTAATGGTATTACATTGTATGACTATAACAAAATTTATTTAACCCTTTAGGCTTTCTGGAGTATTCCCCAGTTTGGGGCTAGTGTTAGTAGTATCATCAGTTAACATGTATTGTTTATGTAGGTGTTCTTGTAGGATATATTTCTAGGAGAGGAGGTGAGAGCTCATATATCATATATACATTTAAAATTTTAATGGGCATTACCAAATTGCCATCCCAAAAAGGTTGTATAACTTCACATTCCTACCATTAGTGAGAAAACCCATTTGTCCATTTCTTAACAAACACTAAACATTAGGAATCTTTATAATTTTGGCTAGGTTGATAAGTGAAAAATAGTACCTAATATAAACTTATACTTTTTAAAAAACTGTTGAGATTAAACATTCTTTCCTGTGTGTATATGTCATTTGTACTTCTTATTCTTTGACCTGTATGCTAGAACTTTTTGCTCATTTTCTGTTGAGTTGTATGTAGTTTTCTTTTTGATTTTTAGGAGCTATTTGTGTATTAGCCTAAATCTTCTGTCTTATATATGTGTAGCATAGATTAATTGATCAGTTGTGAGTTTTTGTATGTATACAAGAGGTCAAAGAGACCTTAAGAGGGAAAACTGACTTCTCAAAGTGTGTAAATACATGTATAATACAAGAGGGAGAATGTGTTAATAAAGAATAGAAAGAGTGACTGTGAGTCATTAACTCTTAGTATGAATTGGTTGGAGCCTACTGTTTCTCCTTCTCACTCCTGCTACTTGTAGAACCAATTTTATTGAGAGAATAGGATTTATAATTTGGAATAAGTGAAGGACAGAAGAGGAGATTTAGAAGGATGGCCCCTGGGAGAGAAGTGGCGTGGTTGGGATAGTGATATGGAAGGCTTGAGTAGTTAAGGGTAGGATGAAAATATTCAGGTGCCATGGAGGGGGAAAAAAGAGTTAAAAGGTGGGAGGTGTGGAACTCAGACTCTCCTTTGAAATTTTTCACAGGGCAGGTTTGGATTTCCAGATATGTTCCACTGCAGAAAAAACATGAAATAGTTGAGAGGGTTTAGTGTAATATTTTCTCCTTGGTGTCTTTTGAGTTCTAGTATAAGTTATTTTCAGACCTTGTAATTACATTTAAAGATTCTGGGAAGGGAAGGAAAAATAAGATAAAAAGAGAGAATGGGACAAACCATAAGAAACTCTTAAACACAGAGAACAAACAGGGCTGCTGGAGGGATGTTGGGTGGGGGGATGGGCTAAATGGGTAATGGGCATTAAGGAGGGCACTTGTTGGGATGAGCACTGGGCGTCATATGTAAGTGATGAATCACTGAATTCAACTTCTGAAACAAAAAAATAATAATAAAGATTCTCACCATAGTAACTTTTTTCCATTTTGCTTTATATGACTGTGATATTAAGTAAAGGTATTAAACTTCTAAATTCCCTATTGCACTTCCACATTTATGAATCAGGCATTGTCTGGTTATCAGAAGACTATTTCAGTGAGAACTGCCAAGACCTGTCATCATTGAATAAAGCATTTTTCTTTTTGTGTTTTCCATAATTCGGTCACTCCAGAAAAATGAGGATATTTAGTGTCTTTGCATTCATGGCCTACTGTCATTTGCTGAAAGGTAAGACACCAGATCGTTTCATTAGGTTCTATATTTGAAATATTTTACCATAAGTTAAAAACTAAAATAATTATTTTAAATGGATGTCATTTTTTTTTTAGAGAACATTCTGTTTTTCCTTCTTTATTTCATAAACCCATTTCATTCGCCAAAGATACGGGGAATATGGTCAAACTGAAAGAAAGAAAACTTATCCATTAGCTACTTGTCTATTACCCATTATCCATTTCCCAGGGATAATTCCTGAAAATATCTGGGGAAATGGTCTATGTATGTACTTTTATTCATTTATTTTAAACAAGAACAGGATCGTTATATCCACCTTCCTCTGCAACCTGCTTTTCCCAGTGAGTATATTCTACAGAAGAATTATAGTATACATTGAAAGTGCCAGGGTAACACAGTACTGGCATCCTCCTGAGACCCTCCCTAAATCTCCATACCCATGTACCTCTGGCTGGACAGCTGGTCAAGAGTTTAGGACAGTAAGAAAAGGGGACTGTTGGAATCTATCATTCAGACTGTCTAGAAGGTAAATAGGTATCCAACCAAAGGACATTATGGGGGTATCCGTATGAAACCAAGTCTTCCTGGTTATAAGTACACCATCACCATGTCATATTTCTACAGTAATACAGGTTTATGATTTGGGGACAGCAGCTTGTTTAGTGGATTTTACTATTCTCACTCATGGATGAGATTTAGGGTTCCAAAGTGTGCTCCAAAGCCACTAGATAAAATATGTATTTTAGGGAAGTAAGTCCTTGAACATAATGATCACATAAGTGACCAGATAAAGTGTTTGTAAACCCTGCGTCAGTCTGCAAATTTTTTGAGGAGTTTCCCATCTTCTGAAGACTGATCATCTTTCTCTCCAGCATTTACGATCACAGTGTCCAAGGACCTGTATGTGGTAGAGTATGGCAGCAATGTGACAATGGAGTGCAGATTCCCCGTAGAAGAACAATTAGACCTGGTTTCACTGATCGTCTACTGGGAAATGGAGGATAAGAAAATCATTCAGTTTGTGCAAGGGAAGGAAGACCTGAAAGTTCAGCACAGAAGCTACAGTCAGAGGGCCCAGCTGTTGAAGGACCAGCTCTTCCTGGGGAAGGCCGCGCTTCAGATCACAAACGTGACCCTGGAGGATGCCGGGGTTTACTGCTGCTTGATTGGCTATGGCGGTGCTGACTATAAGCGGATTACTTTGAAAGTTCATGGTAAGAGTAGTCCCCAGGTGAAGAGGGCCCAGTCTTGATGAAAACCGTGCCCTGGTGCTGGCAACATTTCCTTCTTGCAAGTGGACCTCGATATCCACGGTGGCAGTCTGTTCATTCATTCCTTCACACACTCATCAGGGAGCATTATGGGAGCGCTTCCTATTCAACAGCCCCCAGGAATCTAGAGCCAAACATGGCAGGGCCCTTCTTCAGTTCTCCTAAATATAAATTTCTAGTATTTACTTTTTTATTATTGTGAAAGTAATATATGTATTTGCAAATAATTCAGATACTATGGAGGGGAGTAAAATGAATTACAAAAGTGCCCTTCCTCCATTCACTGCCATTTTCCATGGCACACAAAGATGGCAACCACTGTTCGTGTGTCCCTCCAGGAATTTTTTTATTCCACTATAATTTCTTAAAATTTTATGAAGTCTGCCATCATTTTCCTTCCTTTATGCCTCTCTGTGTCAAGTCCCAATTAATATGTTAAAAACAAACCCCACTTTAAGGTTTACATTCAGAAAGACTTGAAGTCAGTCTATGTAGGCAAAAAATAATCCTACCATATACAAAGGAAACTATTCTTCAGAGACAGTGTAAACTAGGCTCATTGGGCATATATTCATCTTGAAAATATGTACCACTGTTATCTTGGAGTGTTGCAGAGGAACTGTGAATATCAAATTCCTGGGTACTGACCCATAGATACGTCATCAGGTCACTTAGGTTCAAAGTTTTGCATTGCCACTAGCTAAGAAAAGGAAAACACCTTCAACACTTTACTTGACCCCTACTGCTTTCACTGTTTAGATTCACAGAATTGAAACATGAAAGGATCCCAAGTAAGAGAAACTAATCCAAACTCCCAAAGAACAGAAATCTCCCCCAAGGGATCTTTTGCTCACATGCTTTCCACAGCAACATCCTGTCCATAGGCTTATTGAAATTATTATCTGATACTAAGCTGAAATCTGTTCTCTCTAGTCATAGTTTTGAGATTATCTGCCTGCCTTTTTTGTTTACATGATGATCTTTTAGTATGTGACCAGAATCTAATCATTACCCTCCTTGCTCTTTCCATTCCTGGTTTACCCACCTTCCATTGGAAGATCAATTTTATAAGTAGAAAAAGTTTATATTTATCATAAAGGGATAACTGATCATTATAAACTCAAAATCAAAATTTTGTAGGAATTCGGAGAAATGCATATATTTTATGGCACATTACTGAGTTTCTGATTCTGGCTCAATTAGTGCTACTGTTGTCAAGAAGATGTCACTTGTCTTGGGAAGTAGATCTAATTTTCATTATATTTTACCATATACTTCCCCAGAACAGCAAGCTGGTGAGATCCCAGGTTGGGATTTTCAACATTCCTTCAGTCTGTCAGCAAATATCAGGCACTAACTGTTTCATGGCATTGAAGAAATTATCAAGACTTAGCCCCATGAATGGCCAGCATGGCTGGATCTGGGTTGGAGAAAAAGAGCAAAACCCTGTGGTCAGGTAAAAGGAAGTATAGGGTATAAATTTCTGCTTCCAGAAAAGAGGGTCTCTCATCAGCCATTAGGGGGTATGCAGAGAGTGGAACAGTTGTCCTGTAGCGAGTGTGAGTGTTCTTTTAGGTCCTCTGGGCTCTGTAATGTCCCTTGTTGATCTGTGACTTCCTTTGCTATGGTTCAACATAATAGAAAACCTTATAGCCTTGATGGTTTTTCCAAGGAGGGGTTCCTAATGGAACAAAGCAGATGAACATCCAGGTTTGAGGGTCTGATTTATTTTTGTTTTTTAAAGTTTATTTACTTATTTTTGAGAGAGAGAAAGAATCCCAAACAGGTTCCATGCTGTCAGCACAGAGCCCAACACAGGGCTTAATCCCACGAACTGTGAGATCATGACCTGAACTGAAATCAAGAGTCGGATGCTCAATTGACTGAGCCACCCAGGCACCCTGATTTGTTTTGACCATTCCATTTTGTATTATAAATTACTAAATTTGGCACCCTAGTCCCATCCCTCTTGTCATCTGTACACAGTGGTCTTGGGTGTTGAGTTGAACTACACTTGAGAGCAAGCCAGCCACCAAGCTTCGCATGCACTGAGGCAGAGTCTTTCGTGGAAATGTCCTCTTTCATGAGCTTCACAACTCAAGCAGGTTAGAATTCCTGAGTCATCTCCATATGCAAATGATTTCACAGTAATGCTGTCAGGTTCCTCTCCCCATCACTGTTGACCTGAGTTAACAGCAGCTTTCCCACACAGAGTTTACTCACCCTGGGATTTTAAAGGGGAAGCATTTCAAAACTGAAATGTGTAAGAGTTTAGTTTTAGATTAACTCAATTATTATATAGTTACCCTGATAAAGCTCATTTGTTCATACAAACCAAGGATTCATGTTGTCATTCCCCACCAACCCCGTTTCTCCCCCCAGATTCACCAGCCATCCCCATTTAGGTGTTCTCTGTAGTGTTCCTCCCCATCTAATGTATCACAGAACATACTTATCCCCATCTAACACATCATATAAATGTGCCTGTTCTGTTATCTCTCTCCTCTTTCTTGAATATATTTCGCACAAAGGCAGAGATTTTGGTTTGTTTAATCACTGTTTTATCCCTAGGACTTGGCATACAAGAAGAGTGTGACAAGAACACACACACACACACACACACACACACACACACACACAATATTTGTTGAATGGGGTGCCTGGGTGGCTTAGTTTGTTAAGCATCTGACTCTTGATTTCATCTTAGGTCAATGATCTCATGGTTCATGAGATCGAGCCCCACGGTGGGCTCTGTGCTAATAGCATGGAGCCTGCTTGAGGTTCTCTCTGCCTCTCTCTGGCCCTGCCTGGCTCTCTTGTGCATGCACACATTCATTCGTATTCTCTCTCTCTCTCTCTCTCTCAAAATAAATAAACAAACATGAAAAGAACATAAAAAATATATTTATTGAATGAATGAATGATTTCCTCAAATAGGATAAGCCTAACCTTTTTGAAACATGAACAAGTTTGAATATGTGAAAATTTATTTCTGAGTCTGTTCATGAGGAATTGTCAGTACTTTCTGAAGAAGACTGTCTGAGGACCCTTAAGTAGAGGTAGTAGGGAGAGGAGCGGCAGCAGCTCTAGTAGCTGTCCTGGTAGTAACTGACACGCATGTAGTAGCTATTGCATCCCAGGCCCTGTCCTAAGCACTTTTCCTATTTAACTCACTTAATCCTCAAATGACTCTATGGGGTAGGAGGTCCATCATGGGGTAGGAGGATGCATGTTTTCATATTTGACTATCTCTGCAATCTAAGTGTGTCTTTCAATAGATGCCATCTTGGATTCAGTGATGGGTATGGTGTGATTCTCATTTTATGAATAAAGAAACTGAGCTCCAGGGCACCTGGGGGGCTCAGTTGGTTAAGCGTCTGACTTCGGCTCAGGTCATGATCTCACGGTTCGTGGGTTCGAGCCCTGCGTCAGGCTCTGTGCTGACAGCTCGGAACCTGGAGGCTGCTTTGAATCCTGTGTCTCCCTCTGTCTCTGTCTCTGCCTCTGCCTCTCCCCTGCTTGCAGTCTGTCTCTGTCTGTGTCAAAAGTAAATAAAACATTGAAAAAAATATTTTTAAGAAACTGAGGTCTAAAGAAATTAAGTAATTTACCCAAGTTCAGCTATTAGGTGGTAAAGCCAGGTTCTGAACTCAGGTAATCTAGCTCTTAAGTCTCTGTCCTTAATGACCAGGTTTTACCCCTTGTATTTATCCCTCCAGGGTACATATGGAATTGTATATTGACTTCAAAACTACTGTGAACTTTTCTTGGTCTTGATATGACCACTGGATTAGCACATGTGTGCTCTATATCTAGTAAACCAGTAGTCTGTAAATGTTTTTGATAACCTACCCCATCAATAAAGTAGATTAGCTAATATGTGTGTGTAGTTATAAAGGATGTACTTGTGCTAATATAAAGGATATAGCTTAAGAAATTGACTTTTTTAAAAGGTAAAAGAAGTTGAACATCACTAATTTCATATGGTTCAACCTACTGCATTGTGCATTCCATAAATGTACAAAAATAGGGGACTCTGGGGTGGCTCAGTCGGTTAAGCATCCAACTTCAGCTCAGGTCATGATCTCAGGGTTCGTGGGTTTGAGCCCCACCTAGGGCTCTGTGCTGACAGCTGGGAGCCTGGAGCCTGCTTCAGATTCTGTGTCTTCCTCTCTCTGCCCTTCCCCTGCTCACATTCTTTCTGCCTCTCTCTCAAAAACAAACATTAAAAATATGTACAAAAATAGAAAATTTTAAAGGATGGAATAAAAATTTAACATACCATATTTTTAATGCCTCGCTAATTATGATGATTCACTATCATTAGCTAATAACTTCAAGGTGAAGTTCATTGTTAACAAAGTGGATGGTCTTGACAATCTTGAGGGTTTTTTCAGTTTCAGGTGTACAATTTAGTGATTCAACACTTAACATCCAACATTAGGTGCTCATCACAACAAGTGCCCTCCTTAATCCCCATCACCTATTTCACCCATCCCTCCACCCACCTCCCCTCACGTCCCCTCTGGTAACCATCAGTGTGTTCTCTATAGGTTAAGAGTCTGTTTCTTGGTTTGCTTCTCTCCTTTTCTTTATGCTCATTTTTTTTGTTTCTTAAATCCCACATACCAGTGAAATCATGGTATTTGTCTTTGACCATCTTGTTTCACTTAGCATAATACTCTCTAGCTCCATCCATGTCATTGAAAATGGCAATATTTCATTATTTTTTTATGGTTGAGTAATATTCTGGGGTGTGTGTGTGTGTGTGTGTGTGTAGTGTGTTTGTATATATATGCCGTATCTTCTTTACCCATTCATCACTCGATAGACATATGGGCTATTTCCATAATTTGGCTATTATAGGAAACAGTATGGAGTTTCCTCAAAAAGTTAAAAATAGAACTACCCTATGCTCCAGCAATTGCACTACTAGGTATTTACCCAAAGGATACAAATATACTAATTCAAAGGTGTACGTGTATCCCAGTATTTATAGCAGCATTATCTACAGTCTTTAGGTTTTTCAAACCATCACCTTGTCAGGTCCAATTAGGCATTTACTGTTTTAACTTCATAAAGTGTCATTCCTGCCACTTCCTTGTGGTTTGTGCTTGAATTCTTAGTAATATCTTCCATCTTCAGTTTCTCTGCAGAGAAACTTTTAATTAGTTGTTCATTTTGTAAGCAGGTTCAGTCTACTTAAAATTAGATAATCTATAATAAGCCCAAAATGAGTCACTATTCTCCCTTTGGTGTTGTAAAACCTCCCTCTTCCCATATGACCCTCATGTGGCATATGAAGCAAGCCCCAGTATCAATTAGCAAAGCTTTAAGCTTAGATTATTTCTTAATTATTACGATAAAAATTTGTATAAGTGGAAGTTCTCATATTTTCTTCTTATACCCAAATACATGTGCCCTACTTTAGAGACTGATACCGTGGATATCTAACCATGAGTAGAACCAATGCACTTATTTATTGGGCACTTAGAGGTATACCACATTTATACATTTTCTTAGCATGAAGCAACATTCTCCTTTATTATTCCATTAAAAATTATAATAGAAGAGTAAAAAAGCAAACTTTTTACCTCTAATCCTTTACCATTGTCTGTGATTTTACTCTTGAAACTGAAATTGTCCAGAGATCAAGCTCTGTGCTATGTGAACTAGAACCTGTTATGGTAATATTATTGCAGGAGGTATATAATCAGTGGATTGATTGATTTATTTATTATTTTGAGAGAGAGAGCGCATGCAAGAGCAGTGTGTGGGGTAGAGGGAGAGAGACCATGTTAAGCAGACTCCACGCCCAATGCGGAGCTTGACGTGGGACTCAGTCTCATGACCCTGAAATCATGACCCAAGCCAAAAATCAAGAACCGAGCCACCCAGGTGCCCCAGTGGATTTATTTTTCTTAAAGAATTCTTGAACATAACAGATACAATGTTGAGGACCCAAGTACTCATGAGAACCATTCTTTATGTGTTTTGAAATTGTCATTATGTTGATTTCCAGTGTTTCTATTTGTGGTTTCATTAAGAGCACAAAAACATCACATCATTTCAGTTTTGTTTCTGGTTGTTTTGTATCAAATTTCTGTGAATAGATCTTATAAAGCCATTGTTAGGCCTTTAGTAAAGGAATGGAAAGTTAAGGCTCTGGGTGAACCGCTAGTGATTTCACTGAAGCATTAGAAATAAAATAAAGATTACCAGCATAATAATGGCTCGTTACCATGCTTGTAATGAAAAAACATGAATAAAGGTCTTAGGTGATGTAAATAGACTGAACAATCTACTAGAATAGTCAGTACACATGGTATCTTAATCCTAAAAGGGTCCTAAACTGATGAGCTAAATTTTAATCGATCTAAAATTTAAACTTTATATCTTGAGTGTAATAATTATTTAAATGATTTATTAAAATAGCCAGCATAGTGGCGCCTGGGTAGCTTAGTCAGTTAAGGCATATAACTCTTGGTTTCGGCTCAGGTCATGATCTCATGGTTCGTGAGTTTGAGCCCCATGTGGGGCTCTGTGCTGACAGTACAGAGCCTGCTTGGGATTCTCCCTTTCTCTCTCTCTCTCTCTCTCTCTCTCTCTCTCTCTCTCTCTCCCCCCCCCTCTCAAATAAATAGATTTTAAAAATAAATAAAGAATAGCATAAAAATGTTCAAAAAAGTAAGTACCGTAATATGGAATTCTGGATGAGATCCTAGAATAGAAAAAGGACCGTAGGGAAAAACTAGTTAAATATAACAAAGTGTGAAGTTTAGTTAATAGTAATGTACTAACATTGGCTCCCTAGTTATGACAAATGTACTGTAAGATGTCAGCAGTGGGGGAACTGGGTGATAGGTATGTAGGGACTCTGCATTATCTTTGGTGTAAATCTTTCTGTAAATCTGAAACTACTTTAGTATCAAAAATAAATTTAACCTTTAAAAAGTATTATCAGGAACACATAGCAGTTTTTATAATGATATCATGCTCTTTTTCATACCTAATTTCTGATCCTTGACCTACAGTTGAAAAAGTGAATATTATGCTAAGTGAAATAAATCAGGAAGAGAAAGACAAATATCATATGTTTTCACTCATATGTGGAATTTGAGAAACTTAATAGAGGACCATGGGGGAAGGGAAGGGGGGAAAATAGTTTCAAACAGAGGGAAGCAAACCATAAGAGACTCTTAAATACAGAAAACAAATTGAGGGTCGATAGGGGGAAGGGGGAGGGGAAATGGGTGACAGGCATTGAGGAGGGCACTTGTTGGGATGAGTACTGGGTGTTGTATGTAAGCAATGAATCATGGGAATCTACTTCCAAAGCCAAGAGCACATTGTATACACTGTATGTTAGCTAACTTGACAATAAAGTATATTTAGAAAAAAGAAGAAGAAAAATAGTAAAAAAAAAAAAAAATGAGTGGCACATGAAAATCAGATTTTCTGTTTATTAAATAAAGTCTAAGAAAACTGTGCTGGCCAGCTGAAGAGGTTCAATGTTATGAAGATAGATTTATGGCAACAAAAAGAAAATATCCAGGAATAAATTTAAGAAGAAATAGTTTGGCCCTTTGTAAAAATTATAAAGCTTTCCTGAGAAACATACAAAGACTTGAGTAAATGGACAGACATACTTTATATTTGGATAGAAAGACTATTGGTTTCAGGAAGACATTTCTCTTTAAATTAACCTGTACATTTACTTGAAGTCTAAATAAAAGCAATATAATTTTTATGGCAAGGTAGTTGTTCCTGTAAGTTCAAACTTAGCCCGGTTGTGAATAGAAGAGTTGAAGGAGGGGCGCCTGGGTGGCTCAGTCGATTAAACATCCAACTCCAGCTCAGGTCACGGTCTCACAGTTCATGGGTTCAAACCCCGTATTGGGCTCTGTGCTGACAGCTCGGAGCCTGGAGCCTGCTTCAGATCCTGAGTCTCCCTCTCTCTCTGCCCTTCCCCCACTCACACTCTGTCTCTCTGTCTCTCTCTCAAAAATAAATAAATGTTCAAAAAATTTAAAAAAAGAGTTTAAACAGAACTAACAGGGGTTCCCCACTGCTGAGACGTCTGAACATTAAGCTTATTTCTCTGAGAACCAGCCAGAATTGATACTTTTTCTAATGTAGACAGCACCAAGCTACATACATAGTTTTGTCCTAAATAAAAGCCCTGCCTTCTTTTTGCTCATGACCTAGCCCCATATCGAAAAATCAACCAAAGAATTTCTGTGGATCCCGTCACCTCTGAACATGAACTAATGTGTCAGGCTGAGGGTTACCCAACCGCTGAAGTCATCTGGACAAACAGTGCCCATCAAGTCCTGAATGGCAAAACCATCATCTCTGTTTCCAACATGGAGACAAAGCTTTTCAATGTGACCAGCACGCTGAGAATCAACACAACGGCTAACGAGATTTTCTACTGCACTTTTCTTCAAAGATCAAGTCCCGAGGGAAACAGTACTGCTGAGTTGGTCATCCCAGGTAATATTCTGAAATGTCTCAACTAAAATGTGCCTACTGCTGTCCCCTGGCCTCTAGCACGATGCGTGTTCACTGTAGGCATTCATGTGTTAAATAGATGAATGCATGTATTACACTATATTTAAAAAATGCTTCCTCACCTCCACTCATCTGAGTCTATTGCTATTTAATAAGCATTCAGCAAATATTATTGAATACGCCCTATGTTCTAGTTATCAGGGGTTCATAGAAAAGTAAGACACCATTCAGGCTCTCCAGGAAAAGGAAAAGTTAAACAGATAAGGCAACCTCATTCCATGTAGGAAATGCTCTTGTGGCTGAGGGGGTCTGGGGGAGTATCTGAAAGGAAGACTCAACACAGGCAGGGTTTCCGGAGTCCAGATCTGAGCACATCAGAGCTGCTCCTTTCTTTCCAGGGTTTCTCTGGTAGCAAGCAAATGGAAATCTATCCTATTCTAAATGGTACAGGTCATTTCTCCCCATCTGTCCCCCAACCCCAGATATAGTCTATGACATTCCAACTCAAAGCAGTCTGCTGAGCACGTAAGACATAAGAGACTCAATTTCTGCATGTGTCACGCTCCCAGCAATAACCTGTCAGGCAGGGTTATCCTAGGGGTAAATAAGCTACAGTGTGTGAGAGGGATTTGAGACTCTTGCCTGCACAGACTCCGTTATTGTTTTCCTTACTACCCTACAGAAGTGGGTAAGGTGGGATACAGGTGAGAGGCTCAGACCTTTAGAGAGAGACAGGAGAGTACGATGTTAACCCCAGAGGTGTTCTGAGAAGCACTTCTCAACGCCCCCTCTTCTACTAGATGTTATCAGTAAAGCTTCAGTTACTTAAGAAAAAACAACTAAGAGGGGTGCCTGGGTGGCTCAGTCGGTTAAGCGTCTGACTCTTGGTTTTGGCTCAGGTCATGACCTCATGATTTGTGAGTTCGAGCCCCACTTGGGCTCTGCACTGGTATTGTGGAGCCTCCTTGGGATTCTCTCTCCCTCTCTCTACCCTTCCTTCCCCAGTTTGCGCTCTCTCTCTCTCTCTCTCTCTCTCTCTCTCTCTCTCTCTCTCTCTCAAAGTAAATAAATAAACTTAAAAAAAAAAACTAAGAAATTAGGTGGAAAGGTCAAACAATAGGAAAAGGTAATTAATACCAGATTGGTCCTATGAATGAAAAGAGCAAAAAAAAGTTTAGAAACTTAAAGAGATGCTCTTACTGGGTTATGAGTCACTTTGGTAGGGGCTGCTCTCATGGGCTCCTGCCATTTAAAAGTTGTTTTATGACAGCTTATTTGTGGGAAGGCTTACAGTAACTCGCCTAATTGCTGGTGTTTGTTTCCTCATCTGTAACCTGTGATTTTATTTTAATATCTTACATGCCTAACTCAACTTACTTTGAGATTGAAATAAAACAGATATAAACAGGTTGTAAACTGTAAGCTCTTAAAGAAAGGTTGACCACTGTGTGGTTTTAAAGCTTGAATTAGGCCGTCAGGGATCATGACTAATGGTTAGGAGATGGGAGTTAGCAGTATCTGAGCATCATGTGCTGAGGGAACCCCTTTTCCTCCTGCACAGAACCCCAGACAGATTGGTGACAGGTACCAGTGATTGGATGGCCCGAGATGTTCAAACCGAGAAATAAAAGGTAGCCTGAAATGGCCTTTAGTGGCGGCCACACGTACGGGGAGACAGGAGCTCTCTGCCAGGACCAGGTGGCCTTCATGTCCCATCTCCACCACGTACAGCAAGCCATTGGCTTCTGCATTAAAGAATGCGAGGAGAGGGGCGCCTGGGTGGCGCAGTCGGTTAAGCGTCCGACTTCAGCCAGGTCACGATCTCGCGGTCCATGAGTTCGAGCCCCGCGTCGGGCTCTGGGCTGATGGCTCGGAGCCTGGAGCCTGTTTCCGATTCTGTGCCTCCCTCTCTCTCTGCCCCTCCCTCGTTCATGCTCTGTCTCTCTCTGTCCCAAAAATAAAAATAAAAACGTTGAAAAAAAAATTAAAAAAAAAAAAAAAAGAGAATGCGAGGAGAATAATGAGGCTCCCAGGTGGTACTGAGCTGCTGTGGTGAGCACTTCACAAACGCTAGCCTCGCAATAAATTTATTATCATTTCCATTTTGTGGCCAGGTTAAAGGATTTGCCTGAGACCTCAAAGCTAGGGAGTGGCAGCAGAATTGAACTCCAGGCCCGTCTGTCCAAAGCCCGGGCTTCTTTCTCTTTTCCGTGCTGTTCCCATTCCCATGTCGAAGGCATCTCGCTGTTCCGGCCACTCGCTGGCCTGGCACTTTTGGCCGCCTCAAGCTAATCTGAATTAAACTTCAAGGATAATTATTCTCTCGACCCCTTCCCGTCAAAATGTTATCTTTAGTTTCTCTTTCTCTTTTGTTTTTCAGAACCATTTCTGGTTCCAGCAAATGAGAGGACTCACTTCATGATTCTGGGAGCCATCCTGTTGTTTCTTGTCGTGGTCCCGGCTGTCACTTTCTGTCTGAAGAAACAAGATGGTATATCTTTTATTGCAGTGGTGCCCACCGAGCATATGGGCAAGCGTATGGGGGGCTGTTGTTGTCACAGTGGCTCTTATAGGCAGAGCCAGGGCTGCTAAGTCTTGTGTAATGTGCGGGCTAGTCCCATGTAGCAGGAGGCCCTCCTGCCCCAAATGTTAGTGGTGGCCCCACTAGGAAACAATGATTTATAAAATGCTGCCTTTCTATTAGCGTTCACTTCTAAGGCCAGCTTTCAGTTATGCAAAGTAGGTCTTAGCTGTGCTAGCGTGTGAACCTGTGTGTCATGCGTTACTCCAGTCCTGCTCCTTTCGCTGTTCTGCACCAGTGCTTACATTGAGGATGGCAGTGAGCCCTTGAAGTAGCATTTCCAAGGGGGTGACAGTTGGATCACGGCTGCAGGGAAACCTGATTTGCCTTTGCAGCGTGTCCCAAAGACATTCCACTGTTGAGTAGAGATGGCAGTGAGGCCGAGCAGGATTGCTGGGTGAAGAGCGTGTGTATGGGGGTGAGGGCGGAAGAATGGGTGTGTACACAGGGTGAAGAAGACCACGCATCATACAATTTCCTTCCATCATGCAAATAACCGCAGACTTAGAGTAGGAGAGGAAAAGCTAAAATACCTGTCGGTTTCGGTTGAATTTAAGTCTTGCATTAGTTGTACTGCTGTATTGAGTTGGTTTCTGGGCACCCTAAGGAATAAAGATAGTTTTTCCTGTAGAGCTGTGATACTCCTACCATAGAGTATTTTATAAGATTTCTGGCTGAGGGTGCTATATAGTTTTTGAAATAATTTGCATGTGTTTCTCTATTTGCCCATGGGAACAATTAAAATCCAGGAAATTGAATCTATTCAAATAATTTCCTCCCATTTTAAGATGATTCAAAGTAGACATTTCCCCAATACTTTGAGAAGTATACCAGGGGATCCAATGATGATCTGTGTGTAGAATTATCTGAGGTCAAATAGGGAAGTGGAGGATGGAAGGGAATTCCAATGGTGGTTGAGAAATTCCCCACAACCCCTTAATAGGGTGAGTGGATACGGGAAAGTGGTGTAATTGAGTGGAGGTCAGCTGTTTCTAAAGAATACGTATTTAACAGAACTGAGACAATGAGCCAGAATGTAAAGATGAAGTTTCAATGATATGATGACCCTGAAATGGAGTTGATTTGTCCAAGGAAGTGACTATTGCCACCTTGCATTTTGAATATTTCCCCATGAAAAATAATTTTTGGCATCAGGAATGACTAGAAAACTAGTGTATAATAAAGTACCTTGGAATATGTTCCATCTCTGAGGGAAGGATGGAGAATAAAAGTATATACTCCTAAAAAAAAAATCTCGGAGCAGGGCACCTGGCTGGCTCAGTCAGGAGAGAATATGATTCTTGATCTCAGTGCTGTGAGTTTGAGCCTCACACTCGGCATAGAGATGACAACTAAACAAACAAACAAACAAACAAACAAACAAACAAACTTAAAAAAAAAGAAAGAAATCTAGCAGCAAAAGAATATGCCCTAAACTGTTGAATTGACCTCAGGGGTTGGAACCCATGGAATAAATTTGGAAGTCTACCAGATTTCCTAGGGGATTAAAACTGTTTCCTAAGAACCTGGCAAATTTAAACTTGAGTCACTGCATGGGATGTAGAGTTATGTTATATGGGGATAAATATGATTTGTTTTTGTTTTTTTTTTTTTGAAGTGCGAACGATGGATGTGGAAAAATGTGACACCACAGATATGAACTCAAAGAAACAAAATGGTAAGAATATTAGCAGGGGTGAGGAAGCTGAAGGAAAAAGAAACAAAAAGTTAACAAGGAGAAAGCCATCAGCTATAATCTCCCCTCACTGTGAAGAATGCTGGCTGTTAGAGCAACGGGCTCCTCCTTACCTCCACCTGCGATAAGGGGCCTCCTCTCACTGTCTGCCAGGAGACTGAGGAACAGCCCTGGTCCACAGCTTTGGGGATGGCAGGAGGACGTAACTTCTCTCTGCTAAATTTTTATTGCTCTGGATCCTAACCCCTCCCTGCAAAAGGGGACCAAGTTGAGTTACATGGATGGATGACAGATGGATAGATGATAGAGAACTTGAGTAGCAGTCACTGTGTTAACTGCATAGGCAGTTCCTTATTTAATCTCTCCCCCACAAAATCAAAGAGATAAATACTGGAATATTCCCCATTTTATAGTAGAGAAAACATAGGGTTAAGAAGATCATGTAAATTGCCCAAGAACACATACCTGACAAAAATCAGGCTTTGGAGCCCGCTAGCCTGACCATTGATCCTTACTCTTAACCTGTCCACTAACATTCATTTCACCACAAATGTCTGCATTGACAAAAGGTAGAAAGACCTCACCCAGCTGATTGAACTAGGAAGAAAGGTTTTTTTTTTTTTAAGTTTATTTTATTTATTTTGAGAGAGAGAGAGAATCCTAGCAGGCTCCACACTGTAGCCCAGAGCCCAGGCTCAAGCTCATGAACCTTGAGATCATGACCTGAGCCAGAATCAAGAGTTGGAAGCTTAACCAACTGAGCCACCCAGGCACCCCTGAACTAAGAAGAAGGTTATATGAAGATTTCTAATTCTTTCTAAAAAAATTTTTTTAATGTTTATTTTTGAGAGGGAGAGAGACAGAGACAGAGTGCGAGTGGAGGAGGGGCAGAGAGAGGGAGACAGAGAATCCAAAGCAGGCTCCAGGCTCTGAGCTGTTACCACAGATCCCGATGCAGAACTCGAACCCATGAATCACGAGATCATGACCTGAGCCAAAGTCTAATGCTTAACTGTCTGAGCCACCTGGGCACCCCTCTAATTCTTTCTAATTCAGATAGAAATGAAACTTCATGACAAACCCAAATTTAAAGGAATCTAATTAGTTTGGATAAGCCCAGGCAGGTCTCATTATGCTGTCCATCCCACTCAATTGTTTTGTAAAACTAGTGAACTTTTGGAGCATCTTAGGGTGACCAGTCATCTCTCTCAATTTGCCCAGAATTAGGGGGTTTTTCAGGACATGGACTCTCAGTTTTAAAACTAGAACAAACCTAGGCAAACCAAATGGTTGATCACCCTTTATACTGCAGAGGTAACTGGACATAAACATAATTTGCCTCTTTCTCTTACTGCAAATTTATTATATCATCTAGCAACCATGAGTTATGTTTCTCACGATCACTCTCCAGATCTACAATTTGAGGAGACGTAATCCAGCATTGAAATTCCTGATCTTAAAGCAGGGATTCTCAGCCTGTGGTTTGGGCTCGTCAGGGGTAAGCATGACCAGAGGAATGCGGAGGGCCAGGCGAACTGCAGATGATGTCGGATGTGAGAGGCCCAAGCACTGAAAAGTGGAAGCCAGGAGAGAAGAGGAGAACAAAGCAAGGAGTAAGCAGGGGTCACCTGCCAGGAAACCCTGGGGCCTCAGCATGACTGGGGCCTCAGACTTACGGGCACCTGAGAAAGAGAGAGGACACTTGCAAATTGTCTATCGCTCATCCTAGGAAAACAAGTTGAGATTCCCTGATTTAGTGGTCAGTTCCTACAGAAGTGCCCGTTGGCTTCACCAGCATCTCTATTTGTCGTCTGTGTTATTGAGAGCCCCAGTGTTGCAGCAATATTTAAGTATGTTATTTCTATTTATTTTGAGTGTGTGGAGTCTTGTCATGTGAGTGTGGTTGTGAGTGATTTCTTTTGAAGGAATACTATGGTGGAAGTTAAAATTTTGCCACGGAACTAAACTGCTTAGTGACTTGGGTGTGTTCAATAAGATGTGTAATGTTTTTAAATTTTTTGGTAATGTTTCTTTATTTTTGAGAGAGAGAGAGAGAGAGAGAGAGAGAGAGAGAGACAGTGAGAGACAGTGGGTGAGCAGGGGTGGGGCAGAGAGAGGGGGAGACACAGAATCCGAAGCGGGCTCCAGGCTCCGAGCTGTCAGCACAGAACGCATCTCAGGGCTGGAACCCATGAACCATGAGGTCATGACCTGAGCTGAAGTCGGACACTTAACTGACTGAGCCACCCAGGTGCCCCAAGGCGTGTAGTATTTATAAAGTGCTTGGTATCCACCACAGCTACCAGGACATAGGAAGCATAGAGAATGGACTGATGGTTTGTATAGGATATTACCTTATTTAGCCCCCCAGTACTTTGGTTGACTTGAAAACTCTTACTCTCACACCTTAAGGTGAGGTATGTTACTGCAGTGTCTGTTCCATTTTACCTCTCAGCGTTACAGCCATGTAGCATCCTCACACACAATGTCACGTAATGCTTGTGACAACTGTATTGTGGTAGGCACCGTTGCTACCCCCATTTCACGGTGGAGGGAGAGGAGGGATAAAGTAACTGGCCCGAGCCAGTAAATATCACACCTGAGATTTCCACAGCTGTCACTCACTGGCCTTTTAGAAGACAGTTGAGGGCTGTGTTTTGCTTTAAGCAATTCATTCGTTCAGCAGAGACATTTAGGAAGTGCCCTTGCACGTCCAGCACTTTGCTGGGCCGTGACTGAAGCGGACAAAGTAGCTCTCCTCAAGGAGCTCGTGGCATCGAGGAGAGATGGGTCAGAGAATATATTATTACAACTTAGTGCAGTGTCATAGTATAAGGTACCGGAGGACCGCGACGGTGTGGACAGTCTGGAAAAGCCGCCAAAAGGAGGGATGCCAGTCAGTGTGTTCCTCAGAAGCTGAAAATACATTTTCTTTTTTTTTTAAATTTTTTTTTTCAATGTTTATTTATTTTTGGGACAGAGAGAGACAGAGCATGAACGGGGGAGGGGCAGAGAGAGAGGGAGACACAGAATCGGAAACAGGCTCCAGGCTCTGAGCTATCAGCCCAGAGCCCGACGCAGGGCTCGAACTCACGGACCGCGAGATCGTGACCTGGCTGAAGTCGGACGCTTAACCGACTGCGCCACCCAGGCGCCCCTGAAAATACATTTTCATAATCCAAGTGATTTTAGTTTATGAGGAGAAGTCAGCATTTTTAAAAATTGTGGACGATAACTCTTGAGTCCCTTTTCTCTCATTGTATTTACCTCTGATTTACTTACCTTTGCCCTGCAGTCTGATGTCGATATATATCGTGTTGGTATTATTTTTAGCAGTTCTTTCTTTTTACTGAAGTGCTGTTGAATTTTGAGTTCATATCTTTCCGTGATTCAGAATTCAGATCTAAGAGAAGACATTAAAAAGTCTTCATTCCATTCTCGCCGTCGAGTTTTCCTTTGCAGAAGCAACCATCCCTGCCTTTTATTTATGTGGTCTTCTAAAGACCATCTCTGAATATATGTAGAAATATGTATGAAAAGTATGTCTTTTATTTCTTTCTCTTTTTCACATAAGTGGTAACACACTATTCACTTGCTGTGCACTTTGCTATTTTTATTGAATATATTATTCCTCATGTAGCGGCTGGAACCAATGTGAACTTCCCAGAGGCCGGGCGTCATGTCTTCTTTGCTTCTAGATCATCTCTTCCATAGCCTGTTAGTATCTTTTCTAAGACTTAGTACATCCTAAATATTACTTCATCCACATTTAGACAACAGCATTTGTTGAGTGCTCTGTGACTGAGTTTGGATTTGGTTTATGTTGTGTTTCTCAAAGTGAAACCCTTGGGTTCTCCAGGGTACGCTGGGTCAACCTAGTCCTAAGGGCTGACTTTAATACTAATTCTCTACGACCGAATCATGTGTGGAACTTGTTTTTTCCTCTCTGTTTTCTCTTGAGTATAAACTAGATTTTGATGTTGCAGTTGCAAAACTACATGAGTGGGTTTTATTGTGTTTTGTTTTTTGTTTTGTTTTTGTTTTTTTGAAATTCCAGTAGTGTACTTTGACTCTCACCTGTGCTAGAAAAGGCCCATGAGCTGTGCCTGAACCCTTGAGTCCTACCAGTTCTCATCACTACACAGATCCAAGATATTGCTTTTCAAAAGTTTGAATTTACATGCCCTCTCTGGAGGCCCCAGCATATTCCTTCTGTCTTCACCATCTACCTGTGTTATCAACAAGGAAAACCTTTGCTTTGCCACATGTCAAGTCTGAAGAAACAGAATCTCCAACAGAACAGAACTCCTTCTGTTCTCTTTTTGTACACGTTCATTTGTACAGCATCCGTTGTTTGAGTGACTGTATCCTCTGTGTGAGGTACACGAGAGGGTTCTGGCTGAGATGGAGGACAGTCTGTTCACTCCATTCCTAAATGTTAATGCCTTCTTGTGGTGTTAGATTTGTAAGGCACTTTATATCTTTGTCTTGTGTTTCACTGTAAAAGACATAGGCAGAGATGATACTTAGTTCTGCGTTTTAATTGTCATTATTTACACCTGCATTAATTTAATACAATATTTATTTTGTTCCTCAGTGCACCAGCCTGTCCATTTTCTTGTTTTCTAGGTTTTATAAAACCACGTCCGGTTTAATATCCTGGTGGGAAAAGTTGCTTAGAATATCTGCAGCTACCTTCCTAGTAATTTTTTTCATAGCTGCCATTTATGTTGCATACTCTTGAGTTCTGTGTGATGAAATCGATCAAGAGAATTATTTGTTTAAAAAGGATGTATTGAAAGTTTTCATTCTCTCTTACTCGATAGCCTCTTTTAGGACAATACCAAGAAAAGAGTCAAAGTTGTGTCACACAAATTGAAGATCTGAGGGAGGGAGGAGAGGAGGGAAGATGAGAGGGAGGGAGTGGTCCTCAAGACAACTATGAGGAGGGGCGCCTGGGTGGCTCAGTGGGTTGAGCTTCTGAGACTCTTTATCTTGGCTCAGGTCATGATCTCAAGGTTTGTGAGTGTAAGCCTTGCATTGGGCTCTGTGCTAATGGCACAGAGCCTGCTTGGGATTCCGTCTCTCCTTCTCTCTGCCCCTCCCCTGTCTGTGCTTACTCTCTCTAAAAAAAACAAAACAGACAGCTATAAGGAAACTGAAGGGGCTTTCCTCTCAGTCCTCTTCTCAGGACAGTAAACATGGACATGAAGGCCAATGCCTGTAAAGCTGGAGGTATTCCAGTCTTCACATTCTGAAAAGGAAGTGAGACATCTTAGCGTGAAGTCAAGTGGAGGATTAAAGCCTGGTCTAGGATGGGGCCATAAAAAGATTTGTAGTTTTATTTTATTTATTATTATTACTATTTAAGTTTATTTATTTTGAGAGAGACAGAGACCGCATCAGTGGGAGGGAGGGGGGAGAGAGAGAGAGAGGAGAGAGAGAGAGGAGAGAGAGAGAGAGAGAGAGAGAGAGAGAGAGAGAGAGAATACCAAGCAGGCTCCACACTGTCAGCGCAGAGCCCAACGTGGGGCTGGAACCCACGAACCGTGAGATCATGACCTGAGCTAAAGTTGGAAGCTTAACCGACTGAGCCACCTAGGTGCCCCAACCAAATATATTTTTATCTAAATATTTTAGAAAACTTAGATTATTACTATTTTAAAAGTTAGAATTCAGAGTTAACTTTTGCGCAATTGCTATCCCTGGCCATATTTGTGAAGACAGATGCATTCCATTTTTATGACTTTTCCCTGCTCCAAGCCTCCAGAGTTTCAAGGAAATCAGTAAACCAACTTACCCTTATTATAATTTAAATATTCTCAGAATTACTTATATTTTAAAAGAAATTAAAGTTTGAGGAAACTGAAACAATTGTTAGTGGTGAGGTTTTGTCATTAAAAGTCATGATAATTACCGTTTATTGGGCATGTACTTCAGGCTAGACACTGGGATTATATTAGCTCATCTAATGCCATGGGCTGGTGATGAGATATACCAAGCAATAGTTTTTATTGTAATTCTTGCTGATTATTTACTTATGTCTTTTCCCTCAACAGAAAAATATAAAGTGGTCATTTAAAATAATGTATATAAGACTACTATGACATAATTTTGAATGGAGAATAAGTGGCCAAATTGGCTGAAATGTATATTTCTTGGTTTCTTTTTTTCTCATTTAATTTATTTATTTTGAGTAAGAGAGAAAGAGAGAGTGTGAGCGAGTTTGCAAGTAGGGGAGGGAAGAGAGAGAGAGAATCCCAGGCAGACTCCTCGCTGTCAGCGTGGAGCCCGATGCAGGGCTTGCCCTCGCGAACCGTGAGATCGTGACCTGAGCCGAGATCAAGAGTCAGATGCTTGGGGCGCCTGGGTGGCTCAGTCAGTTAAGCATCCAACTCTTGATCTTAGCTCAGGTCATGATCTCACAGTTTGTG